TATCACATTGAAATCGTATGACTGTCACGTGCGCCACCATGGGAATGCCAATATCCGAAATGTGGATTTCGTTTACAACGACGAAGCGAACATATGGCGCGAAATAGTGATGTAAAAAACAGTAAAATTGTACCTACTCTCAGACTCCTAAATTTGAACGTATACTCGGTACAAACAGGTGGGATGAATGGCGCAATAAACAGGTGAAGTAATAAAATAGCTTTCTCGCTTTATTTGCTGACAATCGGCTGTGTAATAGTCACTTATTATAGGCATGTTTTCACATATTTCTTTTCACTCTAATATTACTTCACCTGGTATAATTCCACTATGGGTGGGGTGCATGCAATAACACCATACGCAATAGCCCTGTTCACGTACGCACTATCCAGTAAATCCATTACTAATTTTACTGGTTTTTTACTGGATGTCGTTTTCGTACGCAAAAACTTGCAAAAAACTAGCAAAAGAGGGGAAATTGAAAGAGCAAAAATGACAGCTGAACTTGCCAGTTTTACTGGATAAATTTTTACTAGCAACTATTTGCTATTTAGTAAGAAAAACAGCTGATGGCATGATGCTTAATGTAATTCACATTTGTGGTGCTTTTAGAGTTGCAATTGACAGAATAAACCTATTTAAATATATACATAATAAGATGGAAAATATTAGTTTTCGAAGAAAATTGCATCGGAAATTAACAAATTAATCAAATGTTCATAAAACTAGCAACTTCTTGCTAATAATAATTCCCATTACTTGGACATTAAAAAACAGTTTCAGAAGTGAACTAGTGTTATTTTATTATTATTTTTTTTTTCTAAACGGTTATGACAGCATTGCATAATTGCGAAAGGAGGGGAGTGGGGACGGTGGACGCGAGTACGACGATTAACACGTGCCCAGAAAAAGGTTGTTTGTGTTTTCTGGCAAATGAGAAATTTTGAGTTGATACACTTTTGAAGAGCGTGTGCCAATGTACATATGTATGTACATATGGATGTGTATTAGGAATTTGTTTAGTTCAATTGCAAACCCATAATAAGACGTTGGTATTTATTCATTATGTGTGTACATATACATATATGTATGTATGTATGCGTGCACATTAGGGTGGTCCCAAAACAGTAAAGTCGGAATTGTAATGCTTGAAAACCAATATTTTTCGATCGGAAAACTCTGATTCTCTTCAGGAGACTTTCATAATACTCAATTGTTTATTTGACTATTTCTTAATACTAACGATTTTTTATTGGTCTTAATTTTTCGGTTTTTTTTTGGGTTCTTAACGGGCCTATAAATAGTTGCGATGAAAAAATTGTTAAATAAACATTTGGGAAAAATATTGATTTTTAACTATTCTATACCATTTCTACGAAAAGTTGTTTCCCCATATAGAACACATGGAAAACTTTGGGCGCTTTGAGCGACCTCTAAATATTTTTTGATTTCAAAATAAAAAAATAAGTTTATATTTTTTCAGTATAGAACAATCCTAGGGGGTGAGACCATAAAAATTCCGACTTTACTTTTTCACATGCATTTTTGGACCATCCCTAACGTACATATGTATTTGTTTGAGAATGTGTCATTCTATTGATTTTATTGACACTTGTTATAAACTGCACGCACAGTTGCCACAGTTGGTTGTTTCCAACCAAACTTGGTGTTTTTTTCTTTTTCTGGGTTGGTTGTTTGGTAGTTTTTCTCTGGTTTGGTAGTTTGTTTTTCAATTAGAAATGAACACATTTGTTCTTTACAAAAAGTAATATTGCATACTGGGTGCCAAAAATGAATAAATAAATTTTTCAAATTCCTATTTTTAATGTAACATGTATGTAGATGCATTATAGTGGTCAAAAAAAAATGTTCCCGGGATAGGGCTTGGGGCACCTTCCAAAATTTTTCTGCTTGTCGAAAAAGGTGCAGGTACCAAACTTTACGTTTTTAAGTATAAATTTAGAGGATGCTCATAATGCTCACATTTTACTCCATAAGTATTGAGTACATATATTAATCAAGCAATTGGTTCAGCAACCTAAGAGCATTTCAAATTTAAATTATCTAAAAAAATATCACAAGCTTCAGTTGTCGTGGCAACAGTAGCATTTTATAAAAATCGCCAATATTTTTGCAAGTTTCACAGCGACCCAGTAGCGCATTTCAAAGTCATTGAGCACCTTGTATTCGTTACAGTAGCAAATTGAAAGTTGGTATATTACAAATATCAAAAAGGAAAAACTGAGAGGGTGCCCCGTTTTCTAGGATGATTTTCCTCCCCGCCCCCCCTCCCCCAATACAAAAATTGGACCACCCTAATGCACATATAAAAGGTAAGTATGTGATTGAGCGCACAAGTATTTCAATTATTTTTGATTTCCGAAATAGCAGCTACAACTGCTTCCAAAATGTAAATTAATGTTATTTTTACATAAAATTTTCAATAAAAAAACCCGGCCTCAAGCTCAATAAAATTGTTGAATTTCTGTTTTTTGTACTAAGTTTTGCTTTTTGTAATAGATAAGTGGATGAAAAATTAGTTTATCTTTCAATTTGGTTGTTTTTTCTTCAGATTTTGGTTGATTATTTTTATAACAAGTGGCAACCGTAGCTGCACGTTCCACTCTGTGTTTTGCCCAAATATTCTTCTTTTATTTTCAACTTAAAGACTGCAACGGATTCCTTCTTTATTTAATAGTGAGAACAACTGAGAGATTTGGTTAAATTGAAAGACAGATACTCGTTGCCAAATAAAAACAAAAAAAAACATTTCATTCGGTACATACATATACACATATATATGTGCATAGAAAAGCTTTTATATTAAGCACAAAAATTAAAACAGAACCTGCCAACTGATAAACCGCTCTTTGCGTAAATATTTAAGTACAGAGAACAAGTTTGCGGGTGCTCTCGGGTAAATAAACAAAAAAGTGTACACAAATGTCCCGATCCCCTGCTTAGACTCAGCGATTTCGTTGGGCAAGTAAAACAGTTTATTAAGCGCTGAACAGCAGAGGGCTGACCAAAAAGCGGGTGTGGACATATTTACATACATATGTATGTTTGTCGCATTGATGTACCTATGTACATATTTACTTTAGTACATGTGAACACAAGCGCGCTGCTAAGTGTCGAGGACAGAAAGTGGTACAACCACACTGTGGTGCTTAGATACGAGTATCTACGTAGAATTGCGCCAACTGATAGCGAATCGAAAGCGCAATGCGATTGTGTGCCTCCGATTAGCAGTTACCGCACAACAGTAGGATACAGAGGAGGCGTCACACGTCAAACGCTCACTGCTCGGTTTTTAATAAAGAGCCAGCCAGGCCTATCGACGTGCGTTACTGCGAAACACCAAAACCATGCCCGACAACAGCAGCAAATTTAACCCTGATGCACAATTGGATATCCCCAAGTGGATAAACGTGAAGTACTTTGAGAAAATACTCCACAAAGAGGATGAAAACTTTCAAAAAATCTTGAAACTTGCAGTAATTCCGGCCACACCGCCCGGCGAGAACTACACATCGCTCATGATGCGCATACTAATGGATATAGAACTAAAAGGTATGTAGCTACATATGTTCTTTAATAACGGTAATAAAAGATACCTACAAAGTCATTGTCTTCAAAATCAGAATGAAGTACATACATACATATAGAGTAGTCGAGCTCTGAGTTTAGAATACTCCCGATCCATGCAAAAATTACATTTTTGAAAATTCGGCTCTTTTAAAAGCTGGTTTACATATATATACATATATATACATATATACTTTAAATGATAACTCTGGATATATGTACATATGCAGTGTTTGGCATGAGCGCTGATTAAGTTGCAATCACATTGTGGCTTTGTTTGTTTTTTTTTTGTTTCTATTTTAATATTGTTCATCTACATCCGCTTCGCTTTACAAACTTACAGATGGATACACCCAACAAAAGGCGTATATCGTCAAAACAACGCTGGACGACGACAAGGGCGGTACACTCATCAACGCATTAAATCTCTTTCCGAAAGAGAAGCTTATGTATGAACGCATTTTGCCAGAGTTGGAGCAACTCTACCATGACCTCGACAAGAAAGTGAAATTCGCTGCCAACTGTCAATGGATCGAGCAGAAATCCAGCCGCACCACTATTGTGCTCGAGGACTTGAACACGAAGAAATTCCGAAACATCAACCGGCTTCAAGGCTTCGATATGCTGCACATGAAGCGAGTACTTGAAAAGCTCGCCGAGTTCCATGCAGCGACCGTCATGTGGCATGAGAAGCACGGCGCGTTCCCAGTCGAGTTCCAGAAGACTTATCTACCTGCCAACTATCAAAAATCGAAATCTTATCAAGCGCGCGTGCAAAGCTTTAAGGCAGCGATGGCGACGTGGGGCCTAGATGACTATGACAAATATGTGGAACGCATTGTAAGCATCGAGGCGTAAGAAAAATTCGCCACAGTTAAAATCTAAAAACTGTTTGATTTCAGCCAAATGCCGAGCAGTTCGTTAACGCAGCCATGAGCTGCTTCAGGTCTGACCCCAGTGAATTTAAGGTGCTGAATCATGGAGATTTCTGGTCCAGCAATATTATGCTGAACTACACTTCCAGTGGCGAGGTGAACCAGATCCGCTTTGTGGACTTCCAACTATGCAGATGGGGCAGCCCAGCACAAGATCTATGGGAGCTAATCGTCTGCTCGGTGGTGAGCAATCTGCGCATTTGGGAATTCGACCACTTCGTACGAATATATCACACCCACCTACTGAAGTGCTTAAAGTTACTAAACTACGAGAAAGCGGTGCCCAAACTAAGCGAACTACATATCAGCATGTTAAGGCACGGCTTCTGGGGTGAGTGACATTGAAACTGTCGAAGTTTTCGATTCGNTCGAATATATCACACCCACCTACTCAAGTGCTTAAAGTTACTAAACTACGAGAAAGCGGTGCCCAAACTAAGCGAACTACATATCAGCATGTTAAAGCACGGCTTCTGGGGTGAGTGACATTGAAACTGTCGAAGTTTTCGATTCGTTGTGATCAAATAAGCACGGCTCTTTTTATAGGCTACAGCACAACGTTCACACATTTAGTTCTAATACTGCTGCCGTCAGATAAAGACGCCAGCCTGCTCAAGCTAATCCAGCCCGGTGAAGAGGGGGACAGGTTTCGACACAAAGCTTATACAAATCCGCTATATGTGCGAGCCATGCTAGATATTTTGCCGTTTTTGTATAGGCGAGGAATTCTGGATTTTCACTAGGCTTATACAAATATTTATTCAATTCAATATTGATGTAAAAAACACAGTCGATCAAAACACATACTATGTATATATTAGATGCATCTCAGTCATTAAACGCACAATTTGTGGAAGAGAAAATTTTTCGGAAATCGAATTACTTTCAAAGTAATAGGTATTAGGTATTTTCGAAATCGTTTGGATTTTATTTATTTTCGCGCGATTGNGTCAAAACACATACATATGTACATATTAGATGCATCTCAGTCATTAAACGCACAATTTGTGGAAGAGAAAATTTTTCGAAAATCGAATTACTTTCAAAGTAATAGCTATTAGGTATTTTCGAAATCGTTTGGATTTTATTTATTTTCGCGCGATTGGTAACAATTCTGCTCATTTTTTAAAAAACCTAAAATTATGGTAAGTTTTCCTTTTTTTTGTCATACATTTATTTGTAGTAGTTATTAACAATTTTCAAAGAGATATTAGTGACTTCTCAATTTCTTAATATACATTTTATGAAAAATTACTTGCAGAAAAAAATTGCCGGCATGCAATGAGACGAAAGTTATTCACGTTTTTTCTCTGACGCACGACAAGTATCGACTGCAGCGAGCCTAGCGGAGTATGCCACATGCATTTCATTGTTTAAAGTCAGTCTGGCAAGCGCAGGTTGAAATCGGGGTTGAGAATTGATAAAATTAAATTGTTGCACGCCGCTTCATAATTGGAGAAAAAGTAGAGAAATATAAAAAAAAAATAATAATAATGAAATAGATTACATTAGGAATATTTATCTAACTCATAAACGACCGTTAAACGTGATAAAATTATGAATTTTTATGGAATTTATTTTAGCACTTCCATCGGCAGTTTATCACGTTGGCTGAATAACCCTAATGTAATTTTTAAAAGAAGAAAGAACTAAAAAAAAATATCCAAAAATAAAACGAGTCCAAAACCAGTGCCCCCGCCATTTGCGTCGTTAAAAAGACCGTTTAAAGCACATTTTTTGGGATGTGTATATGAAGAACCAGTGTCGCCCCTTTTCGAGCCAGCTCCGCGCGAGTTCTGTATCAGTTGAATTTGCTGCAGTGAATAAACCAATGTACATTGGTATGTAGATATGTACATATGTATGTGCAAATGTATTGTATATTTTTCTATTTCATGCATATCAATATGCGTAGATAATACATAAGTACGGATTAAGATTCATACTAGGGATGTTAATTTTTTCGCTTTTGACGATCCCGGGATTTTCAGGATGTGGTTATCACAATCCCGATATTTAGATATTCATTACTTTTCAACAACTTAAATCGAAAAAATTCCTTCTATATTGTTTGACAAGCTCTCCTACTATACATAAAATAAATAATAAATAAATGGGTTTGAAACCTACTTTTTAATTTAAAGTGGCATTTTTATTTTTTCTCCTTGACTCACTTTAATTGTAATTTTAAAGATATTTAAGATATTTTGAATAAAAAAAAATTGAAATTTTTTGGATTCAATAGGACTAATAGGTAATTTTTAAGCTGATAGAGATAGACGGGCGAAATTCGTAGCTGTTATCGAGTTTATATAGCTCCTTAACATATAGTTTATTCAAAAACAAATATTTCAAAATTCAAGGATAAAATTTTAAAAGGACATTTTAAATACATACTAGTCCACCATACTAGTGTTATACACCAAAACATTGAAAATGCTTAAATTCTACAGAATTTCCTCTTCAATTTGATACCCATACTTCCCTCTAACCACATTTCACTGAATTTTTCAAATCATTTTTGAATTACTGGCGTCAGCTTCGTGAATATATTGATTCTTTTTGTGTAAAATTTACTATCGCATGGTGTTATATGTATAATGAGCTAGACATTTATAAAAAAATATTAATTATGAAATAAAAAAAGAAATATAGGCAATACTGGTCAAGAAAAGTGTTTCTCTTATTGCCATCAGTGCCAATCACAAATCCCGAAAATCCCGGGATCATTTGCCAAGAGTACCTGGATTTTCGGGATCCCGGGATTAACATTCCTAATTCAGACTCTATGATATAATACATATCCATGAACCAAAAATACAAGATCACGCCAGCAAGCCAGCGGCCCGTTATAATCGCATTTCGGAAAAAAGTTGGGCGATTTTGACTTATATCATGATATATCGTCAAAATGATACATATCGAGCCCTAACCGCTAAAATAACGTAAGCGACATTTTTTCAAAATTTTCTTTTTGATGCAGAAATGCATCAGATGGCCTAGGAATACTTCTGCGTTAAAAAGAAAATTTTGAAAAAAATGTCGCTTACGATATTTTGGCGGTTAAGGCTCGATATGCCAATTCTTATACGTATGTAATTAAATGTATGTACAAGCATTTGGATGTAACCTGCTAGTAATCAGGGTTAGAACTACGGCAAGCCCAAATCGGAGTAAATGACGTAAAAAGCTGTAGCAGAAAATAAAATTCCGTAGTAGATTTAGATGACTACAGACCCTTCTTTTATGTTGTATAAGCAAAGCGTAACTACATCTTTCAATTGTTTTTCTGCAACGTAATTTCTACTTGCCTTAGCCACAATGTCCAACTAAAAGAAGAAAATCACTCTTTGACCAAAGTGAGAAACCAAATCGAAAAACTCCACACTGAGCTTAGTTTAAACGACAAATAGAGTTAAACCCGCACTGAAAAACTGGGCCTAAAATTAGAGTGAGAGAAAGTTTTCTTACAAAACCTTTCATTATTGAATCATGGTATATTCCAGCAAACGAGAGGTAAAAATTATTCTAAAAATTACTTTCGACGATTAATATAGAGAAAAAAATTAAAAAAAAGTATGCCTTTTCCAAGAAAGAATGTCTATTAGAAATATTTGTATGTATGTATATTTATTTAGATGTGCCTACATTCAAACATACCATGCAGTGAAAAATTATCAATTGTTAAAAATAACCAACTTATGACAAAACTTTATGACAAAACCAACTTAAAGTGAGTTGTAAAGTCGTGCAGGAGTCATGCAGACGCAATCGGGAGCTCGTTTTCTTTACAAGTTTCTATTTAAAAATGCTCATACAAAAACTGCTTTGGATACATTTTGATTTTGCACTTCACAAATTCTTTTTCGAATTCAGGACAAATAAAATTAATTTCGAAATTTCACATTATAGCCCTGTATGCAGCTCTCAAGAAAACGGTCAAACCCGAGTTGCCTTGTGCTCTTTTTTCACAAAAAAAACTTTAGAAAACCGTAGTAGAAAGCGTAGTAAATTTCTTAAGAACTGCGTACTGCCTTAAGGAAATTTGACTCAAAAAAATTTCTTAGCCATTTCTTGTACGTCATTTTATATGGAGTTTTTGCTTTTCTTGAGAGCTGCATACAGGCCTTATCATCGCCCCACAAAAGTAGTTAGCTTTTTTCGAACAAAATATAAGGTATTAGTTAGCACTCGTGTTCGCGTGAACAGACTAAATTTTGGTTTAAGTTAACGTTGCTCCCTGCAGGGTACATACATACATACATACATACATATGTGACCTGGTCTACGGAAAGGGGGCTTAGGTGTCAAAAAATCAATTTTCACTTTTTGGTTGATTCGGATGGAAGATGAGATGCTTTTTCACGTGGTGAAAAGCAGAAAATCCTAACTTGCTTAGAAGTGTACTAAAAATGTAGAGAAAGAAGAGTAAAAACGAGTAAACGAAACGAGTTGCTTACTTTTAACAGCTTTTTCACAGAAAACTAGTTTTCGCACGTAAGCTCCCTTTTCGTAGACCAGGTCACATATAGTAATATATCCATGGTCAAACATTGGCAACTCATAACTAGCAAGTTGTCCAAAATAGAGTTGCATATGTACAGCGCCTACGCGGAAAGGTTTTCTGCGCAAAAATACTGTAGTCGCATGAGTAATTTTCAAATTTGCTCTAAAAGCGTAGTAAATGTACTACGATCACAGAGATGTCCTAACCCTGCTGGTAATCTGCTCACTGCCGACTCAACAACATTTGCTTATCAACATTACGCTTTGGAAGCCAACCCTTTTTAAGCTTTTTCAGTTGCTTCCTAATCACAATCAGCTGTTGTCCGCAACAAAAGTACATATGTATGTATGCATGTACGTATGTATGGATGCAAGTGTTAGCTTTTCTAGCCCCCTTCGAATTCACTCTGACAGAGTATGTCGCTCTTTGAGCAAGTGGGACAGACAAGAGGCGTATTGTGTACTTAACTGGGACGGCAATAATAAAAACAAAATTAACTGCTGAAGCTAGCGATAAACACAAGCACGTGAGAGCCGACACAATGCTCGCTTGTGAGATTTGTGAGGTTCCCATACGCACAACACAACGCCGATCGTCACTAACCCACAAGCAACGATTCAGCTACACATCGACGGCCGGCCACTTATCGCAAGGGAGTTCAGTTTAATCAGGTGACTAAATAGTAAAATCATAAATTTTTAATCGTGGAAAAATGAAGTTAACGAAATATTTAAAAAAAAATGCGTTTTGCTGTAGATCTACTTTCGCTTCTACTCTGCTATTACCATGGGAACGGGTGCCAAAAACTACCAGCCCCCAGAATGGATTACAGCTGAGTTTCTGCAGGATGTNTAAAAATGCGATTTGCTGTAGATCTACTTTCGCTTCTACTCTGCTGTCGCAATGGGAACGGGTGCAAAAAACTACCAGCCCCCAGAATGGATTACAGCTGAGTTTCTGCAGGATGTGCTAAAGGAATATTTCAAGGACGACACTTTGGAGGTGCGCGAGATTGTGGTGAAGAGTGCATTGGGCGGGGCGAATGTGGGCAGCGGCTACGCTAGCGAAATGCACCGCGCCACTTTTAACTTGGCGCGGAAAGACGGCACCGGCCGCTTCTCCGTGATTATCAAAGTGAGTATGGCATATATATACATTGTATGTATGTACTTAGTGCTAATATTCTATTCACGTACGGACGTAATGGCACCTCAGGATCACCCCAAGGGCTACACTGGCGTCGTCGCACACAAGAGCAAACTGTTCAAGCGCGAGATTGTGGCCTACAAAGAAATTTTGCCGCGCGTTGAGGAGTTGCTTGCCTCCATTGGTGACAAGACGAAAATTGCTCCNCATATATACATTGTATGTATGTACTTAGTGCTAATATTCTATTCACGTACGGACGTAATGGCACCTCAGGATCACCCTAAGGGCTACACTGGCGTCGTCGCACACAAGAGCAAACTGTTCAAGCGCGAGATTGTGGCCTACAAAGAAATTTTGCCCCGCGTTGAGGAGTTGCTTGCCTCCATTGGTGACAAGACGAAAATTGCTCCCGCCTGTTACTATACCACCGAGACTCCTGAGCCATTCCTTGTGCTGGAGGATATGCAACTAACAGGTTTTGAAAACTTTGAAAAGGGCCGCTTGCTTAACCTGGACTACACCCTGCCGGCCATCGAGAGATTGGCAAAGCTCCATGCGTGTTCTGCTGTTATAGCCAAAGAGACGCCTGAAGTTTTGGAGATCTTCCACGAAGCACCTATTTCTAGGAATCCAGATCGCAAGGATTTCCTTGGCTTTTTTCCAGTGAACATACGCTGCGTAGCTGAGGAGCTGACACATTGGAAGGGCTACGAGGAGATCACTGAAAAAATGTTTAAATTGGCCGAAACTGTGCTTCAGAATGCACTGCAAATGTACGAATCCCACGACCAAGGCTTCCGCGTTTTCAATTCCGCTGATTTGTGGATTGACAATTTGATGTTCCATATAAACAATGACACAAAGGAACCCGATGAGGTGGTTTTGGTGAGTATCCTAAGTAGCATGAAAAGAAACTATGCTGTCATAGATTTATCGTTTTCTTATTTTATTACAGTTAGATTTCCAGCTGTCGTACTATGGTTCACCGGCAGTGGATCTGAACTATTTCCTCTTCGGCTCACTTAACGAGAATGTACGGAAAGTGCATTTCAAATATATAGTGCGTGAATACCATCGAATTTTGAAAGAAACGCTGGAGAAGCTCCACTACGACGGCGAGATACCGACGTTGAAGGACATAAATATCGAGCTTATAAAGAACAGCCTGCAAGGTAAGATTGAGAGTTATCGGTGACTGCCTAAAATTATACAAAAATTGTGTTTGGAATTTTTACGAAATACATGCATTTATGTGTGTATGTAAGTATGCGTAGTACACGTTTTGATATCACACTTCTCATGAAACTTCAATCTTCTCTGCATACAACCTGCAGGTTTTTGTGTGCAATTTGCTAAAATCAACATTTGTTATAATGTCGTTCAATTTCAGGAGTCATCGCCGCCACTTGTCTCACTCCACTTATCTTAATGGAGTCAACGGGAGATGAAAAATTGGAAAACCTTACCACGCGCACTGAAGAAGGTGACCAAATGCGACGCCAAAATGTAGAAAATCCAAAATATCGCGCGTTTCTCCAGCGTACAGTGAAAGAATTCGAGCTCTGTGGCTTTTTAGATGCTTGAATGGGCATACATTAATATGTATTAACTATATGGTATTTGTTAGATAAGCCAATCTATTATTATTATATATGTATGTACGAGAAAAGTTGGTGGAAAGAAGTATACTTCGGGCTAACGTGCGTCCCCCAATATTTTTAAAATTATTCAAATTTTCGGTGGGGCATATAAATAATATATACATAATTGTTCAATTAACCCTTCTTTGATAACCATACTGAAAGTTGCTGAGAAGATAACCATAAGTCTGAGGGACGTATCATGGTTTCCTTGAGGGTTATAAAAAAAAAAACAAAAACAAATATTTTTATGTGTTTGGCCAAGCATATCCTCCAATTTGTGATGCGCGTCCTGAGACCTAGATTTTTACGCCGTTTCCGAACGGCAAATGGAGGCTTGCCATTGCCTGCCGAAGAGCAAAAAAAAAATTCTAATTTTAGATGTTGCTCGGAGCAGGAATCGGACTCAGTTCCCACGGGGTGGTAGTACGCACCTCTAACCACTCGACCACAGCGGCCGCATTGCTCAATTTATCTTTGAAATACAAATTTTATCCTTTCAAAAATTGTCTTACTCTTTATGAAATAAGCACGATCAGGCACGCTTTGGCCTTATGTCTGTACTCCAAGCTTCTTTATAAGCCATTTTCAATTGCATTTAATTTGCTAGGTTATTTCTACCAGATCACTCCACCGCGCTCTTAACAATCAAACGGACGGATAAAATGTTCAGTTTAATGGAGTGACAGGCATTTCTTACTAGATTGCAGGTAGCCAGTTTTCATCAGTAAAGAGTAGGTTGGCTTCTTTCGCAAAAGCTCCCAAATAACATTTTAAACCATGTATGTATGTATAGACCAAGAATGCGTTGAGCCAAAGTGATTTTCCAAGCGGAACTTCGGCAATTCGGTGTAATTCCAGCGGTACCCTAAAACCCCACTTTTCATCTACTGGGATCAACAGTTTGGAGTGTCACAGTGTTCTCTCGGACTGATTACTTCCTGAAAATGCTGAGAATAATTTAATTTTTCGGCAGAATTTGCAGCAAGTAATCAACAGGACGACCTAAATTGAACTTATGGGAACTGCTTGTAGTCATGTGTGTGCTGAAAATAAACACAGTACCGAACAATAGGGGTATTCTCTGAGTCTTGCAAAGCCCTTGCACGTAGCGCGACTTGCACGGATTGCATAACTTGCAAACACACAGCAACAAAATACATACATGGGAAACAATAGGGCTATTCGCGATTCGGTGCATAAGAGCTGACAAATTTATGCAATTGCAGAAATATGCCATGGATTGTGAGCGACCTTTATTAAACTGTCATGGTAAAGCTTTTGCAAAACAATTTTTGTGCATCAGCTTTGGTTTTGTTTATGAATGCAATGCATAGCATTTTTATGCTATGGATTTT